CAGACAGGAGGTTGGCGAGTGGCAATACAGCTGCAGTTGAATTAAATAGACGGTGATACAATAGGTGATACAGATGCAATACAAGTAGGTGATATAGATTCATAGCAATTTTGCCTTCCGGTTTTTTAATCGTACGGCTGAAAGTGCGTGTTGGGAGTGGCGCTTAATACTCGTGTGCGACGCTGTTGCGAGAACAATTGGAAGCTGGGATTCGTAATAATTTTGCCTTCCGAATTTGAAACGTACGGCTGAGAAGCGTGTGTTGGGAGTGGCGATTAACTCACATGCGCATACGCTGTTGTGGGAACATTAGATTCGCAACATTATATTCCAATTGGCGTAAGTCTTCGAAACGTTCTTAAAAAGTTTTGAAACGAACGGCCGAGAAGCTCATGTTGGGAGTGGCGCTGAATACTCGTGTGCGTACGCTGTTGCTGGTACACTCGGGTGAGGTAGATTCGCGGCAATTTTGCCTTCGATTTTGAAACGTTCGGCTGAGAGGCGCGTGTTGGGAGCGGCGTAACGGGACGGCGCGCAGCCACCAGGTGGCGGGGGCGGGGGCGGGGCGGGGCGGCGCGGCGCGCGCGCATCCGCAGCCAAAATAGACTCACCCCCTGTCCCTGCCCCGCCTCCGCCCCCGCGCCGAACGGGGCCACCCGCCGCCGCCGCCGCCCGCCGCCCGCCCGGCCGCTCGCCCACCCGCCCGCCCGTACAGACGCTCGCGCGCCGCTGCGCCTCCAGCGAGCGACTGCGGGGGTGAACAGTTGCGCTACGGCGGTGCAAGGCACCAAGCAAAGCATGCCGCTGCCTCGAGTCTACCTCTTGTTGGTTGCTTGCTTGCTTGATTGAATGATTCATTCATTCATTGATGATTCCGGGCGCGCCGACTCCTAAGGTCACTAGCCCTAAGTGTACTGCAGGTTTTTTTGTCATGGGAAGTGGCTGTGATCTTCCTCCGCCGGGATGGTGAGAGCCACAGGACGAGCTACATGTCGATTGCGGGGTTTTCCAAAACCAGGTATCTCCACCAACAAGGCACCGCCCCACCGGAAGAAGCTCTAAGCTCCCGACCGCTCTCCGATAAGCGTGGTAAAGTGTGCATGTGAGCGTAAGTGTGTGTGTAAGCTAGGACTGAGGATGGCACGAGGAAAGGATGGAAAGATGGCGCGTGGTCCGTGGCCTGTTTGTTGGGGAACTCTCCGGCATTCGTCTGGTGTTCATCGGAGAAACCACGGAAACTGCCTATGAGAGCAGCCGGCCGCTAGAAATATAAGCAGTTGCCAGTGGCGAAACTACTAGTGGTAGTGCATTGCGTGGGCGGCCATCGATCGCGCGAACTCCATAAGCCGCTGGGCTGGCCTCTCGTTCAGAGGCGCGCGGTGCACGGTGGGGGGGGGCATCGATCGTCTCTGCCCACTCGAGCGGCGCCGAGGGGCGACGCACTTGTTGAGCGCCGCGACGTGGGTGGCCGGTTCCCTGCCGCCCAGCCCCACTCGACCGCTTCTCGTGGATGGCCTGGTTTCTCCGAACAGCACCAGCAGCATTTCTCTAACGAGCGAACCACGCGTCATCCTTCCCTCCCCTTCCTCGTCCTATCCTCACCCTACTTTTACTAACATGCACTACACATGCCGGGGGCGGTCGGGAGCTTGGAACTTGTCCCGGCTTGTGAGAGATACCTGGTTGGGGAGAAACTCCGCTAACCGGCGCAGCCACCTCCTGCGATGCGAACAAGCACTATACTTAGAGTCCTAATGACCTTGCCACATTCACTTATTCATCAGTCAATATCTCTGGGCATTAACCGTTGTCTCTACTATTCCTCTAACTAGGAAGTCCTCGGGTCCTAGGCCTAGTGGTATATTTTCGACTCTAGCAGCATACTTAGGTGGCTCAGGGAATCAGTCACTGCTGTGTCTCTGTCCGGAAGTCCTAGGGTTACACTCGGCAATGGCGGATGTTCGACACCAAGCTGCGTCCATTCAACATCTGTCTGGAGAAGAAACGTAACACCTGGTACCTCTGATCGTCATTTTCCGAGACTAATACCACGAGGTGACTACCGCGCGAATGAGAGAACATCAACAAACGAGCCATTCCAGTTCATTCTTGACCCTTCCTCTCCCCTCATACACACACATACACTCATGCAGACTATTGCATTCACCACACATCTCCGGAACTTAATCCGTCCATACATAGTCCGGACATATATAGAAAAAGATGGAAGTCTTTGGTCTGACAACTTTGTTCGTATGTGTGTCTTTAACCATAGCAATTGACGCGCCCAGAAATACAACTAATCAATCAATTCAAGTGCTATCGAGGAGTTTCTTGAATGGGCCGCACAGACAGCACACACCGTAGAAGCTAGATACCAGGCAAATACCCATGACTAGAGATGATAGACTTTATCTATTGCTAAAAATGTGAAATGTTACCGAATACTGAGAAAATTAGTAATTGTATGTTTCACCTTCGGTACAGCATATTTCTGAAGGTTTTCAACCTGTGGTAAAATGCAAACTCTATCCCAAATTGTGAAATCATTTACAAAGTGCGAGATGGTCGTGAATCTGAGATGCAATTGTTGAATTGCATATTACGGTTTCCTTCGTGTTCACTCTTTAACTAGAGAGCACGTATCTCCGCTCTCTAACTAGAAATGTGACATTGACAACACATAGATGTTTGAAAAACAAAATTAGTGGCCAACAGCCTAGAAACTAAACGATTTTCATCAATATCGTTTAATTGTTACTGTCAGAAAAATGTGTTAAAGGAAGCCAGCATTGAAATCTATTTTCAGTTAAATTTCCGCTGATTGAGTTACATATTGATAATAGATGTGTATAAAAATAGATTTCATTTAACAAATGCATGACCTTTTAACACAATGTTGTGTTGTTTTAATACGTATTTACAAATTTCAAAACAATCCTTTTCCTCTCTTTTGAATAGTGTTCTTCAGAAGCTACACAAGAATCTATACAAAGGAAATCATTCTAAGGATATTTACTTCTTTAAATATTTTTTGAAGTTCACAAATAGCGAAATATTAAGTTAGTTTCCCTTTTACCTGTTTTTAATGAGAAAATCTAAAAAAGTATCAAAATATTTTTATTTATCTCAAAGAGACTTTAATACTTGCAATAATGTTCTCAACAAACGCTACAAAATGCTAAATTTTATTTTTCATTGGGCTATAATGTGATATAGCTTTCGTTTCATTTTTTTAAAATTTAAAGTGTTAAATTCTACCATCATTGACGATGGCCTAGCAAAGGAGTGTGTACAGGTTTGACAAGGAAATGTCGTGCGCATCCTGTGACCCTTTGTTTAGGGGACTGCTTCGACATTCGTCTGGAATGGATCCTAGAAGCCCCGCAGAGCATCCAGCCAGCATTGGCGGAGTCAGCGACCGAGTTGGTGTTAGATATCCGCGATCAATCAACCTGATCCTACTTGAAGCATGCGGGTATTCAGACGTGGATTGGAATACTCAAAGCAGCAACAACAATAAATAAAACCGTTCATACAAAACATAATTTACCCATTTTGACGCGAAACCTTAAGGTACTTTTTGATAGGAAATTACTTCCCAGACCTGTATCTAACATATCGAAGTCGAAGAAAATTGAAGTTTACAATTTATGACATAACAAACAAATTGTTTTATCAAATACACTGTAATCGTACGTAGCTCGTAATGATGTGCATAGACTTTTAAAATCATATTAATGTGTCAAGAAGGGGCTTTTTCATAGGGCAAGTGAGTTTTGTGTGGACAGGAGTTTTGGGAGCGAAATGATGAGGGACAGGGGGGCAAGAGGGGACATGGGAAATAAATGGGGACAAGCGGGGACAGGTGGGTCGTGAATTACGTTTCGTTTACTACAAAAGGATATCTTTTGAATTGTATATGTCAAGCCCTTTAGGAGGTTTGGGTGCTCTGACTGCTTAGCATGGGTGGTCAAAAAACTGCAAAAACCCGACATCTAAGTGGGACAAAATTGAAGGAAAAAGAAATCTATCACAGTAAAATTAAAGGTATATTTTGATTTTCTGTGCAATTGCATCTGAACGCTTAGCAAGTTTAGAATCGTTTCTCTACCCTATCCTACAATTCAGTTTATGGAATGGACAATGGAAACTTAAAAGTGAAAATTACTTGGCTGTAAACATTTTTTTACAAATAGTGGAGTTCTCACAAAAGTACAGCTAGTTCTTTTTATTTATTGCTCGTAATAAATTACGAGCAACCTACACGTATTTCGTGACAACTCGGTAAGAAAATGTTTTCTCTTTGAAAAGAGCAAACGCAATGTTCGTCTTTCTAAGATCAATTTAAACCAATTAAGCGCGTGTTGGAGCGATGTTATTATCTCTAATGACGACATGTGCGATCTGTAAAGATGTAACGAGAGGCTACGAGGAAGTTGAATCCCGCAACACAGCAAGAAAGTGTTCACAGGGTTTGAAAATGGTGACAGATAGCAAATGGACTGGACTAATATCCGGGTATTTTATTCGGCTGAAGCGCGGGAACAAATTGCTTTGATCTAAAGCAAGCGTCTAGTGAAGATAAATATTGCTTTATGAAAGGACCCCGAGATTCAGCAAATTGGTTCAAAAGCATTGGACGTTGTTGTGATTTATAGGTTGTTTTTTTCCAATCGTTTATTTGTGCGCGAAATTGAGCTCGTCAGCATTTTTAGGGAAGCTATTTAAGGATGAGCCCCTCTTTTGCATCTGGACATAAAAGTAGCTTTACCATCATGCAGGTTTTCTTGAGACCAATGAGGAGTACAGAAATGGAAATCGTTCACCATGTTCTCGCGACAGTAAGTGAATTTCTTCACTTAAGACCCGAAAAGATATAATTGTCAATCTGTAGCTCATTTACCTTTGCAAGGCTTATAGCACGGGTGCTAATATTTTCTTATCAGTTCTTACGAAACAAACTGCTTGTTGCTATCTTCATTTATAATTCCATGTAATATACTAAATTTTGCATAGAGATTTCAGAGTCGAAGAAAACGTGCATAAAATGTACTCTATTATAGTAAGTAACATACATTTTAACAATTTTGGAATTAAAATAATATATTTTTTTGTACGTGCCAGATAGACTCGCTCATTGAGTTCAATGCAGTAGTTTTTCAAGCATAGTACACCCAGTTATTTGAAATTTCTTTTATCAAATTCACTTAACATCATATTGTGTTGTATTATTTAATGTGTACAAAGTGAATGGGATCGAATGAATGTGATTAGCAGTGGTGCAAGATGTATGGACATTCGTACTGTACGCATAGTAAGAAAAGTGTTGGGATAACTCTCAAATATTTGATTTCTTGAGTGAAAATGTAAACTGTTACATTGTTTTTGAATTTTCCCCTGCTCCTGGGCATCCAAAGAAACTATAGTCACCTCTGACATCGCAAGAGTCTGCATGGTTTCTTGGAATTTCTGCACACAATGGAAATTAGTAACTGAGAATACTAAAGAGAAAACACAATTACCGCGTAATTTACCCGTTTGTGCTAGAATATCGTTGAGAGCTATTCTCAGCTCTCGGGTCAAGTCGATTTTCCGAACAGGTCCAATGTTGTTCGAGGTCGTCTGTTTATTCTCTTGTGTTTGGTGGGACAACAGCCCTCGCAATCACGGGGCTTTGAAGCGAGGCTTTTAAGTTTCTTTTGCTTTCCTCAGTAAAATAAGGAAATTTCTCCCAACTCTTTGCGCTTATTTACTTATGTAAAGAAAAGAAAACGATTGTTCCCATTAATACATACGGGGCATTTTAATTATTCTATTTTCATTAACAGCTTCAAATCCTTGGGCCAATTCACGAATAAACCTTTCTATAAGAGAAACTATGAAGTATTAAGAAGAAATAGAAGTGACTGGAAATACAACATACTAGATACATCACTCGAAATCTATTACTAATAAACTCCGTATTTTTTGTGTGGGGGAGTATAGTATTGTTCATTACTTATTTTTTCCACGTCTAAAGGTGTTTTTTGGTGAGGATTGCAATGTATATGTCCATATTAGCTTTATTTTTTATATCGATTGTTTGTTTAATCTTATAATTTATTAAGAGCCCTAATGATGAAATACTCGTTATATTAGTGGTAAAAATAACTTTTTAGTTTGCGTGTAGGAAAGGCAGAAACCCTTAGCCGACTGGCGTAATCCCAAGAGAAAAATAAAATCACTTTTACCGCGTGTGCCACACACTATTTTTTAGACAGTCTTTCTGACATTCATTTTATTTTAATTATACAAATTACTTCCTTCCACACTTTGTTACATTGAAGTCAGTAATAGCGGTAAGACGAAAATACTTCATTTTCAGAATTTCATACTATTATACCTGGACATTTGAGCATTGTTTTACTTGTAGAAATGATGTTAGAAATTGAACTTTTAGTACGCTGAGCTTTTCCTAAAAGTATTCGCTTTTACTAGTGGGAAACTAAAAAAAAATTCGAATCGCCAACAAATAATTAGCTCTACATTGTTTTCAATATTTTCACCGGTTTAAGTAATTCGTTATGTTCCATTTCAACTACTTCCATTATTACGTAGTTCAGTTTTTCATCTTATAAAACATATTTATTAGACACTGTTCATTTAAGACAAGGGTCAATATACCACTATTTACAGCTTAAAAGCGAATATTTGATCAGATTTCTTAATTATGTTTGAGCACGTCGCGAAATGAATAATTCCCAAATTCCCTCTCCCTTATTTTAATCCTACCAATCCGAACGGGGGAGGACGAGCACAGCTGCAATTAGATGATTTGAACCTATAAAAACGATATTTTAGGAAGTTGAAAATCATTTATATTGTTTATAACGTGCTTATTGCCAAAATATAACGCCATTTTTTGCAATTTTTGCCTGAATTTGAGTTTCATCCATATATAGTTGTGGGCACGAAAATTCGTTACTATTTACTCGAAAATTCAGAACATATTGTTGAAGTATTTTAGCAATAGTGTATTACGTCATAGTTTACTATAGTTAAGTACATTGCTACATCGTAAAGACATATTGGTCAAAGTTGACGAAACTGCTTGGTTTCTTTCGTGCAGTTGTGCTTTTAACATTAATGTTAATTGTAATTTATTATTTTTTAAAACGTCAAAAGCATCAATAAAATCAAAACTTGTAAGGTCGACTACGCAGAGAATCAACTGATGTTACCACAGAGTCTTGATCGAAGGTTCTGTGGTTCTAATCCCGACATTGGTAGGATTTTCGACACTAGCCAGATAGTTAGGTCGAATTCAGCCGCTGTCTGGAGGAGTATTCTTGCGACGGGCTGCTCTAATTGGTAGTTTTCCGTGGTTTCTCCAATCAACGCCATGTGAATACTGGAGCAGTACAACAAACGTGCAAACTTTATTTTCTCTTTATTGTCTTATCCTCACCTCTTACGCACACACATACTTTTGGGCACTACGCTACCACACATGTCGGCAGATCGATCGGGAGCTTAGAGCTTGTCCCGGCTGGGGCGGTGCCTATCCGGTGGGAGACACCCGGATGGGGAAAATTCCTGCAAAGCCGACGTCGGGAGATTCTCACCGCGATCTCCTGCGATGAAAACGTGCACTACACTTATGGGACTAGTGACCTTAGCAGTTGAGGAATTATCAATCAATCAATTCAGAGACTCCCCTGCCCACTTTGCTAATGTCCTCCCTCTTGGTATTGTTGATACCAAGGTATTCGTAGGGTTATGAACATCAATAAATGAACCATGCGAGAAATGTTTGCTCTGAACGCCGAGCACAATCCCGGAACTTGGATGAATTCACAAGACGCACAGCAGCTGAGAACGCACAAAAACCTCCAAGGAGGGTACGGGCAAGAAAATTTGGAAATGTGATACTTTCTCGGATTTAAAGAGCGCTTGTTTTTGTAGGGACCCACGAGAGAAGGAAGGAATTTAGTTGAAATGAAGTAGAGAGGGATCCAGAAAATAACGCAAGATTGAAAGATATACTCGGTTTAAGAGAAAATGGTTTCATGGCCCTGCATATTACATCTTTTCATTATTATTTAAGTAGTGTTGAAATGGACTCCAACACCCTTTTTTTTCTTCTTCTAATTTCGTTTCGATTAGCAGTTTCGGTTTTATCTTGTAGGACTATCATTAGAACTTTTGCGGACTCTAAGTGGCAATTCCGACTTCCAACGCTTATGGAACGTTCACAATAAAAATTCGAAACCCTCCACCGGGAGAGGTGGCTCAGGGCACAAGGTGATGTCAGTGCTCTGCCTCTGACCGGGAAGGCCTAGGTTCGAGTTCCGACGACAGCAGGATTTTCCACACTAGCTTGTCAGCTAGGTTCGAATTTAGTTGCTGTCTGGAGGAGAAGTGTAGCGGCCGGGTGCTCTGATCAGGAGTTTCCCGTAATTACTCCGATCAGCACAAGGTAAATGCCGGAGCAGTACCCTAACAAACGGGCCACGGACCTCGCGCGATCTTTCCTACCTCTTCCTTGTCTTAACCTCACCTCACTCATAAGTACTTGCTGGCCAGTGTAGCTAGGCAGTGAAAGTGTGCTGACACTTTTTACTGTTATACGTGTTATGTTCTATGTTATTATATCACAATCATAATTTAAAATTGGAAAAGTCCGACACTTATTTATTCTGTTGCAAGTTGTATATTTTTATTGTGTTTATTTAGAATACATTAAGAATTGTTTTTCCAACGGTACAATATTATTTTTTACCATTGCACTCTACAAATCGACCTCAAAGGCCTCGATCACTCGCTATTAATAAAAGTAGCGAGTGTTATAGTAAGAAGTTAAATTCACCACATACGTCAATGATACGTGTTGAACACGGTCAGGGTTCAAGTCATCTCTGGTTTTCTACAACGAAAAAACCAAACAGGTGACCATTTTTTTATTGGATATGCTGCACACACACACACACACACACACACACACAACTGCCCCCCCCCCTTACGCAGCTATACGTGCTGGTAAAAAGAAAACAAATGTCACTATTTGATATGAATGAGTCGCGTCATGATTGCATCAATTCAGTTGCATCAGTTATTCATGAAATTGATCCACGAATAAACTATATAATAAGTAAACTGCATTTATCATATCACAAAACGCAAAGTCCACAAATAGCAATTTTAACTTACGGTTTGGCACTCGATCCATCACGGTTAGATTTCTTACCTGCAACAAGACAAAATATATGTAAGACATTCCATAGTATATACATTACAGTGATTGCACATCATTAATTTAAGTTTGCTCTGAAACGAACTACCTTTTGAATTCATACAATCTACCTGTTTTTTTAAATATTTGTACCTGTATTCGTATTTTTTTTTTTGCTAAACTGTCACAGACGGTACGCTGACTACGGACGGTGCAGTAATAAATTATTAATATTGTTGTTATTATAAGTAATGTTTAAACAAATTAGCAAATATAATCTTGCTATTTCAAAAGACCGTAAAAATTGTTACAGTACGCAAAACTCAGCGAAAATAAAAAAAATTAAAACTGACTTTACCATAATGATAAAATCCCTATTATTAAAACCTTTTCACATTATTATAAAATCAAATTACCTATTCAAATTAATATAAAAGCAACCAATTGTATGACATCAAGACAAATGTACTTAGCCTGCACATGTGTTGTATACAAATAATATTTAGGAATGATGTTCCCACTAAGCTTCGATAGAAACACGAGTGTTGCAGGTCAATCGGGAAAATGGATTTCTTAGTACTATTTCAGCAAATAGCCTAGTTATTAATATATTCTGGGGAATGGGAGTGTTTATTTAACTTGAATGCCAGGTGGGTTTGACATCTTTCATTCGCCTTTATCCACTGAAGTTCAACCATTTATTTCGTTACAAACGCAGCATCTTCGTACATTCATTTTTGCATAGCGTCAACCCACGAAGCTCCCGTTTCTAGAAGCGATACTCATCTTAACGAGGAATAGAAACACTGCGAGATTTTAAAAAGTTCCTTCACACATGTGTTGATCATCGAAGATTTTCGCGGAAGTGATAGTTAAAATGCGGGCTTCGGCGTGCCCGTGCGGAGATGCCAGCTTGGTTGGCTCGCAGCCAGCTTCCCGCCGACTCCCCAGAAGCTCGTACCGGGAAATCCTGAGTTCGACTATCGGCGGTGGCGGAATTTGTGTCACTAATTACATGACTAAGTCAAATGTAGCCGCTGTCTGGAGGAGACTTCTAGAGGCCGGCTGCTCTGATCGGTAGTTTTCCGTGGTTCCCTCGATCAATACCAGGCGAATGCCGGAGCAGTACCCTAACAAACGAGCTGCGATCTGCGCTCGATCTTTATTTCTTTATTTACGTCAAACTTTGTGACGTGTTACGGGGGAGAAGTTAATTTGTAGTTACATTTATGTCCAGAAGCAAAACGGGGGGCAATCTCAGCATTTGCTCAAGGATGAGGGAAACTGGACGAAAACCTGATCGAGATGGGGGTCATTGACTCAGAAGCTGAAGTACAATACTTGTTACAGGTTTTTCGGAGGTTCTTGTTACAGGTCCTTTCTTTCCTCTTCTTTGCCATATCGTCTCCCCATCCTCCCCTTCCTACACACACACAATTACATGCACTATAATAACACACATATCGGGAACTAAGAGTTTGTGCCGACATGAGCTGTGACCCATTGGAAAGATACATGCAAACAAAAACCCCCTCGTGTGGCTGTGAAGGTCGGCGCCTGATCTCACCAACCAGCTGGGAACAACGTCACCTCCCGGAATATAACACCCTCTATAATAATGACTAGCGGGGAATTTGAATGAAATGTTATTTTTGTTTTCACTTTTGAACAATGTTCTTTAGATTACAAGCTAATTTTATGTTATGACGAAAAGAAATTATTCTTTTGACATGTATTTTTCGTTGATTTCAACTAATAAATCACTTTTTACCTATTTTCGTCATTTTAAAGCATTTTTCGTTGATTTCATCTAATTCAACATCATTTTTCCTGAGAACGAAAGGAAGAAACCTCGATTACATCAGTATCATATCCAACAGCTTCAATTGTTCATCTGATCTGGTTCCGATAATTTTTGATCATTTTTTTACCTCATAATTCTTTACGCTCAGATCATTTTAAAAGACATTTTAAGAGCATTTTATTTATCATTTTTGGCAATTTTTGAGACCATCAAAATCCGCTCCTTCAAAATGGCCACAGCAGTTTACGTGCACTGAGTCAATCAATTAATAAACAATGGGCGATTCTGAAAAGTTGCCTTTTGCAACGTGCTAATCGCGAAGCGATTTCGGGAAGCGATAGTCGCGTGGGTGCACAGATCTGCAGCGAGCGAAAGTCGTGCGGCTGAAATTAAAACACAGGAACATCGTCGCGGGCCTGTTTATTTGCATTTGACGCCGAATAACCGCTACTCGGAGAATTTCTTTCCGTGTGACTCAATGTTAAGAGTATCTGCAAGGTGTACTCACCCTCCGGTAGCACAACTTTCGTCACAGCAACTTACGTCACAATTTCGTCACATTTCTAAGGGTGCCAGATGTCTACTCTTTGAGCGGACAGTCCACATTTTTCACATTCTATTTTTTTCAAACTAGTGGACATTTTGATTTTGTAAGCTTTACGATGAAATGGTACGTAATCTGAGGCTGTACAGTCTAAGAGATTAAGGATAGGAGAATCGTGTTTTGTTAAGGGTAGGAGAATCGTGTCTGTGCTTTTTCATAAGTAAGAATGAGACAAAGATCGAAAATCCATTGAACTCGATTCTCAAAAAAAAAAAAAAAAAAAAAAAAAAAAAAAAAAAAAAAAAAAAAAAATTAATTATACTTATTTTTCACAAGACATTTAATAAAAGTATATAAACTTATTTACATAAATCTTCCTAACTCGCATTTATCTGTTATTTTTGTTTTTCACGACGTTGAAGTGAAATTAAGTAATTATTCCTTAAACGCAAAGAAATGATCAAAGCTGACCAGTCAAATTAAAAATACACACAACAGCAAAGTAAAATCTATTTTCATATTTTACATATTATAATACATTTGGTGTTTTGAACTTTAAGCACGTGTGAAGTGCTTATTTTAATATGTGTTAAATAGATTGCAACAAAATATATATTAATATTTTTTTTAAATTACAACTACCTCTCCCCGCTTGACCGCTATTCTTTTGGAAGCCGATCTGGCAAACTTACACATTTCCCTCTCTACATCGTAAATCGAAATGTTCTGGAGATTGCTCTTATAAGCAAGCCTTACAATAATTGCTATTTATCAAAAATGTATTTTGACTTGTTACGATACTATATGGAAGAATCATCAAACAAGACCGTCAGGCCGAGGCTAAAATTTAGATTACACGAATGAAATTTTGGCATCTTAAAATGAGTGCGTCAAACACACTTTCGTACGAATTGGATACATTTTTTAGTACAAATTCATTGAAACTTACAAGTCATTACTATAGAGTTTATTCTCAATATTCCAGGCGTTAGATCTGTTGATTCATGCCACTCCAGTTTTTTGTTTACTTTACAAAATCCAGTTATTTTGCATGGCCCTGAATTATCTGAAGTACGAGTACGGTAAAGTCCTTATTGGCGTAAGCATACTGGAAATTAAGAGTTCTCAATCAACAAACAACGAAGGCAAGTTTTCATGCGATATTTGTGGGGTCCAAGATGAAATTGCCGCTCCTGTGAAATTCTTTCTGGAAGTGCCCTGTCCCGTAACCAGTCTGCCCCTCTGGGTAGTCAGTTCCCAGCGGGATGTCACTGGTCTTTTAATTCCCTCCAAATACTTATTGACTACAACATGTATTAGTGTTTGGTATTCCAGCATTATAGACAACTTTCTTCGTAACAAGAAATCATTCATAAAATGGCATCCTACAGCACATATTATGACGTGATTTCACGAACAATTGTGTGAAAGCTAATAGCATCATTGCGATCTAAACGAAACCAAAAGTGATAAATAAAATGTGCTTAAATGTTTTTAAAATGCTCTAAAAACCAATGAAACATGACGTAAAAAACTGAAGCTTGTGGATATGCTACTGATGTGATTGTTAGGCGTCATAGGACCCCTATATTACACACAACGGCTGACGTTACAATTGAGCGAAGAAATGAAATAGGCTGACTAATGACCTCAATCAATCAACTGACATGTGTGGTAGTGTAGAGCATGTAAGTATGCGTTTAATGCGAGAGGTAGGAACAAGGATGAGAAATTTGGCTTGCGAAGGTTTAATACAGAACTATGGAGCTAGTGTGAAAAACAGGCAATCGTTGGGACTCGAATCTACGAACCTCCAGGTGAGAAAAGCTACAGCTGCCCCCCCCCCAAAAAATTTCAGTAACTATTAATTTTATCTTGCCTCGAGACTTTCAAGGAAAAATATTTTTGAATAATTATTAAAACGAATAAAATTGTATATCAGCATGACCTGAGTGTAACCTGCTGTAACATTTTACAAATTCTGTAACGTGTCACATTCGACCAAAACCTTTTCAATTTCCCTCCCAAAATGTGTCTGTGGATCCACCCCTGGGGGCAAGAGTTGTCGCCGCGAAGCAGGCTTTGTGCTTGCTTTGTGGGCGTGTGTGGAGCGAGCGGCTGTGGTGGCAGCCCTGGCGCGCAGCGGGTGACCGAGTGGAGAGCTCTAGTATGTCC